ATGGGGCGAGCAGCCAACTGGTAAGCCGCAGAGTGTCGAATTCTATTTACCCTCTTCTGATTTCTTCTTCCTACGAGAGTAGTGCTCAACTATTGTAGCCACGCAAACTAAGCGACCAACACAAAGCTGTAGACGACATTTTCAAGCTCCAGGTTAAAATCGCTAAGTGTGAAACTGATTTTAGCGACAATTGGAACTTTCATTGCCTTCCTCTTATTTTTATTTTGAGTTTTGCCTCATTTTTTGGAGCATTGTTCATTTCTGATAATCATCGAAGAAGCCGAATTTGCGTCAAAAGTGTTGAATGTGGTTTGCGAGCTCCGTAAGAGTTTTAACACAGTATCAATAAAGGGGGAAAGAGGAGGAAAGAATTTTTAGCAACTTTGGAAAGGTGAACTTGTGCCGAAAAGCCTAGTTGAGGTAAGAAAGCTACTTTTTTTATTAAATTATCATACGATCTAATATATTTTGAATTCTTAAGTAGTTTAAGATTCCAGGTTGGTTACCTGAAGCTGCAAGTTCGAGACAAGCATATAGAAGATCGTTGTAGGACGACTCCGTAAATTTCAAGTAAAATAATCCCATGCTAATTTAATAAGAATAATTTGATTTATGGAAATTAATTGAATCTCAAAGTTTAACATTATATTTTATAGGTTATTAAGTTCAACATAAAAGCACCACAACCTCCAGCTAGCCATCAAAAAATTAAGATAAGTAATTATATTTCTAAATTTCAGTAATTGTTTTTATTTCAGAATGTATGTTTGACTCTATGTATGCTCTAGTTTAGTTAGAATTTTCATAATTGTACAAACAAAATATATGCATGTCAGAAAAGATATACAAGATAGAATAAGAAACAGATATGCATGATAGACCTGATAAAAAAGATATGCTTGAGTTAAGAGGTATGTACGATATGAGAATTATATCTGGTGAATAGTTGCAGCATAGTAAGAGTAAATATTCATGTTATTAGATACATAAAGATAACTTAGAATAATGTACGTTTTAAAGAATGAAATAACTTATATAAAAATATTTATATGTGCATATTCAAAGAATTCATCCCTTAATGGTACACGCAGGGGGCGCTAGTATACTCGCTCGCGTATTGTTTTTTACAATCCCAGATATTTGTGATGATTAGATCACCAACCGCTGTGCTAAAGGGATAATATCGGCTAGGGGCGGTTAGATCAAAACTTACCTCCCCAGACAATTGTAATATTTACATTGTTAAACGATGTGCTAACGGGACAATATCTATCAAGGGCAAGTAAGAGTATTTTCACCCTAGACAATTGTGATATGTAGATCGCTAACCGTTGTGTCAATGAAAGTTTACGAATAATATCAGTCAAAGGCGAGTCAGGTTTGTTGGCGGTGATGTTCACAGAGACAAATGTGCATGTAAAGTATAAAATTAAAGTAAAATTAAAGTAACATTAAAGTAAATATTTATAGAAAATTAAGTATTCCATTTAAAAAAAGTCATTGATGCATACATTAGCATATATCAAATTGCTATTAAAAATATGAAAGAACAAATAAATAAAAGTGGAGCAAATGTATACAGGAGGCGGGAACAACAACCAGAAAAGTACCAATTTTAACTTATTTATTTTTATTGCTTTCTTTAGGGACTCTTTCAAGTATTATTTGAATAGTAAATTAATTATGATAAAAAATAGAATAGCAGATAATTGATTTCCACTATCTGAACGTCCATCTCCATCCAAGTCCCGTGCCGGATCGTGACACTTGGCTCTAGAATCCATAGCCAACCTACTTAATACACTATGGTCCGACAATGCACTGGTTGTCATAGATCTCATAGCTTCTCCCATCTCGAAACACAAAGCACAAATCCTCATTCCAATTCTTCTACAAACAAAAACCACCATACAAGCATCTCTGAACTCTTGGTTGTTTATGTTATTGGTGACTGACACCTCTCCCCAAACAAACTTAGCCCGTGCACTATTTCCAATGCAAATTCATTGGCTATGCATTCGATCACAAGGGCTGCAAATGTTGGAACCCCACCTAAGGCCAAGTATATATGTCCAAATACGACCTGATTCAATGAATCCATCTTTCCTCTCAAAACAAACAGCTCAAACCTTAGTCTCGTTCACCAACCTCGAACAACAACACTGATTCACCATCTCTCACCTTGGACCCATCCCACTACTTCCAAATTCATTTTCAAACTTCCTGCCACTACTCACTCCTCCCTCCACCAATTTCGTTGCTACCCCAACCATAACACAAGTTGCATATCCAACAACTCCATAGACAACAAACACCAACTCCTCACCTCTATAAACGACACCACAACCACCACCTATCCCTCAGTGTCATGACGTCATTCCATAATCACCAGAACACAGAGAAGCCTTAAACCCAAATAACTACTCGACCTCACACATCACCTTATCGATATTTTAGATTCAACATCCTAATTCATAGTATTAAACACTCTCATTGGCGGAAAGCCATGTTTAAAGAATTCCAAGACCTTCCATCCCAAGGCACTTGAACACTTGTGCCATCCTTTCCCAATCTTCACATACATGGATGCAAATGGACCTATAAAACCAAATATCTTGCTGACGGAAACAAAGCCCGCCATAAAACTCACCTCATAGCTCAAGAATTCAAACAACAGCAAGGAATTGACTATACGGGCCAAATTTCCAACCATATGAATCCTTTTCAGCATTTCCATAGCCCGAAATTAGACAATTACACAGCTCGACGTCTCCAATGAATTCCTTCATAGCGCTCTCTCAGAAATCTCCTATATGTCACAACCACAATGGTTCAAAGAGCTTCCGAAACTCGATCATGCCCGTCTACTCAAAAAGGCCATCTATAGCTTAAGCAATCTCCACGTCAGTGGCACAACACTTTCTCGTCAACTCTACAAGACCTCAGATTCAGTTTCAGCAGTGCAGATCCTCCCTAATGATTTATCACATGGATATCATCCTCATATATGTGTGTGATATTCTCCTAACAGACAACAACATTTCCAACATGTAGAAACTCATCAACCAGCTTCAATAATTCTTTCAACTAAAGAATCTTGGCCAAGTAAACAACTTTGTAAACATCCAGGCTACTCAACAGCAGCTGGACTTCATCTCCACCAAACAAAGTATGCTTTGGATGTTCTGAATAGGACTGGAATGACAAACTGCAAAGCAATCCACAGCCCATCTACCCGACAGTGAAAACAGACTAAAGACAGCCTCACCTTCACCGTCTCATAGATTCACTATAATACCTCACAATGCATGTGCGAATAGAGCCAATTGTGCTGACGTCAATGACAGGAAAGCCATTTTCAAATATTGCACACTTTTGGGCCGAACTCATCTCATGATCAGTTAAGAAGAAAATAAATATAGAAAGATCCTCTATCGAAGTAGAGTATCAAGCACCTGCCACAAATGCCACTGATGTCATATGACTCCATATTTTACTTTGACATTTTCACAGACATCCCTCAGCCAACTCCCCTTTATTGAGACAACATTGCAGCGCTTGTCTTAGCAAACAATCTGATCTTCCATGCAAGAACCAAGCATATAAAATTGGATTACCACTTCATCAAAGACTGCATTAAATCAAATCAAATCAAATCACAATCCCGCACATTTCTTTATAAGATACTCTTAACCGGCATCTTCACCAAACCTATAACTACATGCAAATTTGGGAATATAAGACACATTGTCCATTCAAGTCGTGGGGAGGGGTACTGAAACATTTTAATCAATAGAGAACATTTGGAAGCTGTTTGCTACACTCTTCCTCTACCTAAATTCTCCTGTCAGAATTCACTATTTCTTCTGCGTGCGCATACTTACAAATAATCATGCTTTCATAATGCCATGTATTTCATAACTTTCGGTGGATATTAGACAGTAGATCGACATGAGCAATGCTAAATATGCTCAAACTGCAAAGAAAAATTATTTTTCAAGGAAATTTAATAAGAATATCGTTTAATATCCAAGCAAGGGCCTGTGATCCTTTCCAAATTGCTAGAAATTTTAAAGATGATGTATATTTCTTGAATAGTAGCATGATATATTCATTAGTGTAAGTTTAAATATTGAAAATATCGTGTCATAACAAGAAATTATACTACCTAGAAAACTGCAGACTAACTCTTTTTCAAAGTAACATAATCGTCAATTATTAGTCCCATCTTAGCCAAATTTTTTTTTTAAGTTGAAGGCATCACTTCGGATAAAATGCCAGCATTTTTCCCATATTAAATGGCAAAGTGGAGAAAACAATGCATAGTCGACGTCTCTCCAATCAAAAATAGGGGTGGTGAGCCATCTCTCCTTCATTCAACATTTTTCCCATATTAAATGGCCTAATCCAAGACTACTTCCACAATCCAAGACTTATGTGTAGCCCTCTAAGTGAGTGGTTTCTTCCATTATAAGCCATATGGTCAACAGCTCCACCTGCTTTCCAAGTAAGAATGTTGCAAGAATTTATTTGAATCACTCTGTACAAGCAATAATGTAAAACTCGCAGTATATTTATCTAGATTTCTTAATGCACGAATATACTAGAAAGCTTAATATCAATTTGGGATTCTCATTTCTCTCTTGGGATAGCTTAGTGGCTCCTCTTGAATGAATTCTTAAGGTGAACGATTTCTACATTCATCCCCTCTCAAATCTGAATCCTAGAAACCTCTCCAGAACCATCTCCACACCGTTTACAAAACACTAGAACTAGTAACCCAATTCAAGCTATTTATACAGTTCAAAAGGATGTGATTGACAAAATGGAGGAACTAGTAACCCAATTCTCCACATCCAGTCTGAATTTCAAAACATGTGCAAAAGTAACAATTAAAAAAGAAAATCAACTCCAAAGCAAAACAAAGATGAATAATCAATTTATAAACAGAAAATCTCACCAAACAAAAATAAGTCAATAAATGAAAATAGCTACTACACCTGTGATAGTAAGCGTGCCACACCCAAGAGTCGATTGTGGTAGGTGTGCTTTCCACCTTGGTTCTTATTCTTATTACTGTATGATAGCAAGAAAATAAAACTTCAAATAATAAGTTGAACATTCATAAAATATATCAGCATATAAATCATACAATGAATCAATAATGCAGAGCAAATTGAGAAATAAATTATTTAGTCGGTATAAAAATAATAGTTGTAATAAATCATTGAACTAATAATGAACAGAAGCATTAAGCTTTAAACTTAAATTCAATCCGCTATAAATCAAAGATAGCAGGATTAGAACTCTTTATATCAAATTTGGTTCTACCAAAAGTTTAAATTTACCCAGAAGTTCACCAAAATAATCAACATTACAAGTGAAAATCATGAAAGAAGATTATTTTACTTAATCAAAAATAAATTTAGGAAAAAAACATACAACCTCGAATGAGAAGTATTTTCAATAGAAAATTTCCCTCTAGTGACAAGGAAAAGGGCATTCAAGATCTGGCCGAGCCCTGCTAACTGTAGAAGCCTCAAATCCCTCCTCACCTAAGAAAACACAATAAGTAGAATGAAAATTCAAAAATTAACTATAAACTGGAGAAGATAAGAGCAAAGAGAAGAGAAACAAGATAGAAGAAAACGAATTTTATTCATCATATTCTATTACATTGCAAAATAAAGGAAAAATATTACACCATTTTTTGAATACACTAAACAATAATGATAAGAGGAATCGCCATAATAATATAACTACAGCTATTGGGTAAAAAATACAAGCTTACATCAACCCATTCATAGAAAATCGACAAGAGGAAATTAGGATACATGGCTGTTAAAAATAAAATCTCATATACCTAATAAGTAAAGTAATATAATTGGGATTCTGCAATTATTTTGAAACTTACTAACCCAATATGGCAACAATGATAGACGCCACAATATGGTAGCTATTAGTTAAATCGACGATAATTGGAAAGCCAGCTACGAAAAGATGGCAGCAGAACTAGAGTCTGCAATATTCCCCCTCAAGTCGAACTACTCAAGTTAAACATTCCAAGCTTGTAAACTAACTTCTAAAATATTGATTTGAGCAAATCCTAGCCTAATAAGTCAGCAACAAAAACATACATATTCCACACAAATGCTACACTTATTTTTTTATATAATAAAGTGACAATCAACTTCTACATGTTTTTGTTCTATCATATAATGAACCAATTGTTGACCTTCAATCACTTATTGAACCAGCCCATTCTGCATCCATATATACCCTAATACTGATTTCATTGTTTATAACAAAAAAATTATAAATTTTTTTTTTGTTTTGGGGTTCCTTTGAGATACCTTACAATTTGATAACAACCTCAATGTATTCTTCATAAGGAGAATGCATGTATTGGCCCACACTACAAACTACAAAGGCTAAATCAAATCGGGTGCGGAAAGAGTCTGTCAACTTTTTTATATGAAAATAATTTTAAATTTAAATTTAATTTAATATAAGAGGTATATAGTTTTGTTTTTGAAAGTAGTGTGTTTTAATTTTTGAAAAATAGACCAGATAGATCTCATTCATCTAATAGACTATATAATTGTGTCTGATACTGCTAATATTACACCTTCTCGAAAGATAAGTATATACCTCGGCGACGGACCCAATCATACAAACTAAGTGATTTGTGACGTCAGTTTGATTTGCAAACAATTTATATGTGACCGACAAGTTCTCATATCTAATACGAAAATAAAATAGAGTTTATTTTACCTGGATTTCAAGTTCCCTATAAAGGCAAACCTCTGTAGTTAATTACATCTCAAATGACTTGTCACTTTAGAAAACTCTAGATAATGATCAGAGATACTAGTCTTCAAGAATTCAAGGTTTAAGTTTTCATGATAGGACGTGGAACATCAAGTGGGAAAGAACCAAATGGGAGTAATTCTTTCAAGAGTCCAAAGGAAGGAAAATGTCAGGGAGGTCACAGATCTAGAGGAGAAACCTCAGTGACTTCCAAAACTATCTTACTGTGTGGCTGCGTTTTGAAGATGATGTTATTCAAGTGTTCAATCCTATAAATTTTATTATTTGGGACTTACATTTGCATAATATACAATTATGCAGATAGTCCGCAGAGATAGAAGGGTTTACGTCGTATCGGACGACAACCTCGGAACCTAAGATGAGTTAGGACTTACGCTGCACAACATGGTTGCACAGGAGTCTAAAGAGGATGTGAGAATTTATGTCACGCCAGGCGAGCTACCACAAATTTCTATGGGTTGTTATGTTAGGAGGAGAGAATGATAAAGAAAATCCTCTTGTTGTTCGATCCAAGCCCCTCATCGTGCTTCCCACAAAGTTGACTTCAAGCTCCTTATTGAAGTAGCAGTCTTACAGCCTAAGGTTAAAAAGGTTTTACCAAGTGTGTTTAAGTGACAAATTTTGTTATTATTCAGGCACTATTGGGGGGTTAAAGTTGATTAGAGCGCCACCGGTTTGGATCTCACTGTTCCCTCGTTCCGGCACCACTATTTTCTTTTAAATTTACTTGGTCTAAACGATTTATTAAGCACATTTAAACTGAGAGATCTTGTTAGCAACCGTAGGTTTTCGAATCCAACGGACTCTCGTAAATTCAGAAATACGTGTTATGTTATTGTTTTGTTCTGAGAATGTTGTTTAATTTTTTAAAATCGTTTTGTTTTGAAAATGTTGTTTAATTTTTTAAAATTATTTTGTTTTGAAAATGAAATTGCAACCAGGCATGTGTAATATATATTAAAGCAAGAGTAAATTACAGTAATAAAAATGACAATAAATAAATTGTCCACGCATACTTGTCATCTTCTCGTTATTCCCGCTATGTGGTTAGCTCATAAAACATAATACAATTTGCAAGGAATTTAAACAAATTGCAGAAAAATAAAGAAACAGGAATTCTAGCGTAAAAAATAGTAAAAATGAGTCGTAACAGCAGCTAGAAACTTCAAACAGCAATCTTAAGGTTTTCTACAACTCCGGACAGCAGCTAAGAACTCCAAACAATGATCTTAAGGCTTCATACAACTCCGGACAGCAGCTAGGAACTCTGAACAGGGATCCTAAAGCTTCTTACAACTCCGGACAGCAACTAAGAACTCCAAACAGGGAGCCTAAGACTTCATACAACTCCGGACAGCAGCTAGTAACTCTAAACAATGATCTCAAGGCTTCCTACAACTCTGGACAGCAACTAGGAACTCCGAACAAGGATCCTAAGGCTTCCTACAACTCCGGACAGCATCTAGGAACTCCAAACTGCGATCCTAAGGCTTCCTACAACTCCAGAGAGCAGCTAAGAACTCAGAACAGATATCATAAGGCTTCCTACAACTCCGGACAGCAGCTATGAACTTCAAACAACGATCCTAAGGTTTCATACAACTCCGGACAGCAGCTAGGAACTCCAAACAATGATTCTAAGGCTTCCTATAACTTCGGAAAGCAGCTAGGAACTCTAAACAACGTTTACAAAGACCCGAACAGCATCTCATCAAACCCAAAAAAACATTTTTAAGCCCGTTCATTTCACCAAGCGTGCAACTCGAAACAACAATTTTAAAACCTTAACTTCAACAAGATATGCAAGCTCGCAATGATAATTTTAAAACTTCCAATTCAGTAAATTATGCAAGCTTAAAATGACAGTTTTAAAGCTTCAACCTTAGCAAAATTTGCAAGCTCACAATGATAATTTTAAAGCTTTTGATTCAGTAAAATATGCAAGCTTAAAACGAAGTTTTACAACTTCTTTAAGGTTTCATTAGAAAAGAATTTGCTCTGTTGAAAAAATGGTATTTCATGATTTTGATATCCTTACCAGGCATGCAATGAAAGCCTATCCCTTTTTTGTGGAATATTGGCAACTTGACTTGCTACAAACATAGCATAACACTACCAAAATAAAGCCTAAATTTGTTTCTGCTTGCTAAAGTTTGATCATTGATATACCGTTAGAAGGCTTATAGACATAATTGTTACAAATCTCTATCTTGAACGCAAGTTTTAATGCCCAAGAACTATGACATGTAACGATCATTCCCTCAAATAAATGCTAGAAAAGTTTATATTTAAAATTGCTAAGAAAAGCAGTAAAGATTACCAAATACACCTTACAAGGATGAGGGAACAGTACAGCCATGGAAAAGAGCTAGAGTTGCGGTAACAAGACAAACTTAATTGTTCAAATGTTGTGAGGAGGGAATTCGACTGGGCTCTTGCCTGTGAAGAGGAGCATCGACCGGAGCTTTCGGTGCAGAGGGGAGGCGAAGCCTAGAGAAAGGAGTCGAGGGATTCTTCGGTCGAGCAGAGAAGTGAGGAGCAGGCTTCGACACAAGGAGGAGGAGTCTGTTGAGCGAGGGAGGCGGGCAGGAGTTTCAATCAGGGGAGGGAATCGAGCGAGGGTTTCTGGAGAGGGAGTCGAGCGAGGCTTTTCTGTGTGAGCGAGAGGGAGGCGGGATCGACGAGGCAGGAGAATGCGGGAGAGGTGAGGCGAGTTGTTTGAGTGCTGCAATCGGGACGAAGAGGCGCGCATGAGCTTCGATCGGGAGAGAGAGACGAGCGACTTGTTTTGTTCAGAGTGAGGAGGAGGCAGGATCGAGAGGGGTCTCGGTTCGCACAGAGGAGTTGGGGTCTTCGGGGCAAGGAAGAGAAGACGAGGCGGGAGAGTTTCGGTGGAGTGCTTCAAGCAGGAAGAGCAGGGCTTCGAGCATAAAAAGAGGTGAGGGAAGGCTTTCGGTGCAAAGGGGAGGAGACGAAGCCAAGGGCTTTGGTGCAGCGAAGAGGTAAGCGGGTGAAGAAGAAGGGGGCTTCTGTATCTAGGAGAAGAGGCGAGCGGGGGAGTCGAATGCCAAGAAGGTGAAGCCCGTTGAATTGTATAGTTGTAATCTTCAAAGTGAACGTTACGCGAGATTAAGCGGAGAATTAAACTAATTAGATTCATGTAGCCGGCTCAATCGAAAAATATTAACTCTCCATTAAGATGAGATTAAATGGTCCATTGAAATTTGAAATTATTCAGCTCGTGTCCAGCCCATGTCGAGCCCGAGCTAAACCTGGGTTGAGCGGCTTGAGCCTGAACCCGCACCTCCTTAATTTAAAAAAAGTGCATCGATTTTCGAGTTATTTGCGCGCGTGCGGAACCGTAGCAATATGATTATCATTCCTAGCTAAAATTGACGTTTCGGACGCGTCTGTGCTGTCCGTTTCGTCATCCGGGATCGTCCGAACAAGTTTGCCGACAGTCGGGCCAAAAATACGTCTAATTTAATTTCATATTTTTTGTTCGTAACGAATCATTTTGAAAATTGGCTTCATTTTAAACGTCAGTGCAATGTATCAATTATGGTGTTCGCGTTACCGAGTCATGGAGGGTTCAGCTATGGTCGTCTAATCTTATAGGAATTCATTTTCGGGCCCTATACATGTTAGTACTTAACCCTTGCAACTAAGAGTGGAGTGCTTGGGACTACTCATCAGAGGTCTTCACAAAGATGGGTCAAGAAGTGGTTCGAAGTTCTATGAGAGGTGGACTCCATTGCTAGTCCACTAGGATGGTCAACAAAGAACTCCTAAAGCTAGCTTGGGTTCTAGGAGTAGGAGACAAAGCCCTCACTGAAAATGAGGTCAACAAAAATAAGTGTCCCATTTATTGGTGTACGTTCCAATTTCTCTCCAAGCATCACATGTGGATTTACTATAGTATCTCCAAGTTTACATCCTAGCATCTCTAGCTCCTTTAAAAGGTATAACATAAATTAACATTGAGACATTAAAATATCTTTTATATTTAAAGCAATCATCCTACTCAGAAAATACCTCGACAAGCCTAAATCTTTTAACTGAAATTCTACTTCAAGGGTTTTCAACCCTTTTAATTTCATCAACATTGTCACCATTCAAAATAATATAATCAAAATATACTAAGGTTTGTAATAATACCTTCTTTATGTTTTATAGAACTAGATATTGTTTGATTGAGCTTGTTGCTATTCTTGATAATGGATAGACTTTTTAAATTTTTTGTACCAAATGCAAGCTGATTGTCCAGAATTTACCATGCACCTCATCACATCTGGGTGGTAATTCCATCTAGAGATCTTTCTCGATTTCTCCACTCAAATAAGTATTTTTAACATCAAGTTGTTGAAGTTGTTAATCAATGTTTGGTAGTACCTAAATCATTTTTAGCATTCCAATGCGTTGGTTGTCATTATTTCATATCTTTGTCCACCATCATGCAATAGAGTCCACCGAGTAACATCCTTGGAAATCAGACAATCATATATGTTTCTTCTTCGACATTGTGAATGTCTGTCATATATTGATTAAAAAATTGAATGTCATCTGTATTTACTGCCCAATAAATTTCTAACAGATCATCTCAATATCAGCCATGCTCATTTGTTTGACTGCCCTTTGAAGTTTTCTCTGAGATACCTTAAACAGAATCTATGTTCCAGAATCTGGGTGCCACCCCCGGAAAATTGTCCCTACATCCATGAATAATACCTGAATGGCAATATGAGGCTACAAAAAGATTTACGTGTGACCCAACTATTGATGAAGCTCACACATATTTCTTAAAAATCAGAGAGTCGTTGTACTTAAACTGGATGACTGTAAATGCTAATGAAAAAAGCATGTTATTCGCATCAACACCAATAACATAGAGTAAAATTCAACGATATTTACCCAATAAGAATGTGTCACCCAGATTCAATACAGGTTGGTTACAGCTCATACCCTTTATAGATGGCCCAAATGCCCAAAAAAGACGCTAAAAGAAAGATGTTGCATCATATTTAACCCTGTAAATGGATCCAAGTATTGCACTACAGATGGCTACTATTAGCTTAAATAATGAATAATAGGGCTCATCCCAACTGCCAAATATAGACTTGAAAGTTTTACTTCTTGCATCCCATGACATAAAAGTAAGATATTCTGATGTTGATTTTAACTTTCACCTTAGTAATAATCTCTCGGCTTCAAGTCAATTTGAAATCTAGTAAATCTAGATGTGCACTAACGGTTTTCACAAGGCACAATTATGTGTGCGCGGATGTGATGTCTACAAATATTTGATATTTTTCATGCTCTCAAATGTCATTTGCTCCTAACTGAATGCAAACGCCAATGGCATGACTGAGATGGATGATCATAATGCAGACACATGATACTTAATCGAGATTTGTTGGAATTTATAATGATGTACTCTATATTGTTCACAATGCCCTAGCTATTGAATGCACATTATAAGTCTGCTTTGGTGGAAAAAATCATATCCTCAACTAACATATCCAAAATCTGTCATTTAATGTTTAAGCATCATGTTGGAGCATCAATGTGATGTCTCATCCCACTCATTGACTGTACGCCATGCCCAAATATATTCATTGGTGGATATCATACACCAAAAACGGTGACATTATTCATGGAATGCCTCCTAATCAAGTTGTAACCCATAATCTCGACCACATTTGTCTCCATTAGTGTGGTTGGTTGGATGTCATAGTCATTACCAAAATATTTGCGCATGCCACTCTCTATCGTCATATCCATCCAATTCTTGAGTAATTTATCTTTTTGTGCTTTATCTTTAAGTTGTATGCCCGGATGATGACTCGGTTCGGCACAAGAACATTTAACAAAACTGAGAAGTTTAAAAACTTAACTTTAGGAATAGTCTAAATATTAAAAGTAATGCACTTATTTTGTAGGTGAAGAGAAATGTTACATACTATTGAGGAACCCTTCGTTCCTTTGGTTCCACCTACTTCTCCTACCACCAAGGAGCCCTCTGTCCATTTGGTTCCGCCAGCACATCCTCTTACTCTCCATGTCTACACTCGAAGCACTCATTCTGATGCACCTACTCTGGAGCTTGTTGTCCCATTGTTGAACCCTGAATCCTATCCAGACAACATCTCCATCATTGTTCCTACTCCAAATGAGGAAGCCAGTTGTTTTAGTAAGGTACGCAATCAAACAGGCTCTCTTTATCCCATGACAAATTATGTCTCTCTTTGCAGATTATCACCAACCTACAGAGCATTTGTTACGGCCTTGACTAATCATTAGCTTCCATCTAATATTGAGGCTGTCTTAGCAGACCCAACCTGGAAAGTTGTCGTCATGAAGAAGATAAAGGTCCTTTAGTGAGATCATACTTGGGACATTGTTGATCGGACATTGTTGATCTTCCTTGGGGGAACAAAACATTTAGATGCCGATAGATTTTTAGCATCAAGTTTAAATCTGATGGATTATTTAAATGAAACAAGACACGATTGGTCGCCAAAGAATACTCACAAGCCTGTGGAGTTGACTATGATGAGACATTTGCTCCAGTTGCTAAATTAAATACCATTCGAGTCATTTTATCTCTTGCAATGAATCTAGAATGGTCCTTATTCCACCTTAATGTCAAGAATGTGTTTTTGATGGCAATCTTACAAAAGAGATAAACATGACTCTTCCTCCAGGCTTTAACTCCACTACCTCCTAGGGGCAAGTATGTAGATTGTGAAAATCTCTCTATAGATTGAAGCAATCTCCACGAGCATGGTTTGGGAAATTCACAAAGGTGGTGGTAGGCCATGGATTCACTCGGGCTCAATTGAACCACACTCTCTTCTTCCGACATTACTTCAGTGGCCAAGTAACTATCTTTATTGTCTATGTTGATGATATCTCTCTTACAGGTAATGATTTATTAGCATTAGAGTCTTTGAAAGGAATTATTGATCCTTCCTTTGAAATAAATGACTTGGGATTTCTTCGATACTTCTTATGCATGGTCATCTTAGTGTATTTGTCTATCTCAACGGAAATATGTGATTGATGTTTTGACAAAGAACAATCTTCTCATTTGCAAACCAGTGGTCGCCCCAATGGATCTCAATGAAAAGCTTATTGATGTTTCCAATGCACTTCCTATAAACAAAACTCACTGTCAGTGTCTTCTAGGGAAACTCATTTACATTGCTCATACACGCCTCAACATATGTCATGTAGTTGAGATAGTTAATTCATGCATGATCCCTGTGAGCACCACCTCCAAGCTGTCCACCGGATTCTCCACTATTAAAAAGCACATTGGGCTCGAGTTTATTTTTTCCTGCCACACCTCTCGTTCTATTGCAGTTTACACGGACACAAATTGGATTGGGTTCATCCATGGTCGAAGGTCTACCTCGGGGTACTGCTCAGTTATGTGGGGAAACATGGTCACATGGAAAAACATGAAGCAGCTTGTAGTTGCTCGGAGCAATGCGAAAGCTAAATTTCAGTCAATGTCTCTGAGAATATGTGAAGCTCTCTAGTTACGCATTATACTCCACAAAGTACGTATGATAGTCTGTGCTCTCCTATAGTTGTTCTATAATAACATGGTTGTATTAGCATTGCTCACAACCCAATCCAGCGTGATCGCACCTAACATTTTGAGATTGAACGTCACTTCATTAAGGAAAAACTTGAGTCCGAGAAAATCTATTCTGTTTATGTCATACAGTGGCCAGCTAGCAAATATTCTCACAAATAACCTTCCTTATTATTCGATGATTTCAAATATAAGTTGAACATGACAGACATCTATGTTTCAACTTGAAGAGTACTGGGATATTATAATATTAAAATGTAGAATTATGTATTGATTGCTTTGATTTAATTGTATATACTTTCCTTTTTCCATTTATTCTATTTTTATTTGTTTCCTTACTAGTAGATCTTACAATGGCTATTTATACCCCTCTTTGTATCAATAAGTGATATCTCGGTTCTAGTCTAACAATTTGAAAAGAAATTTTCTCAAAAGGAACTTGAAGAATTTGCAATGGTTCAACTTGTAGGGACAGATTGGGAACTCCGAGTTAGTATCCATGCGCTCACCAATTAGAATTGGTTTGTAAACATTCATGTCTTGGAGAAAATGGTATGTATCGAAGGAGATCATGGCAAGAATTAACAGGAAAAAAACATGTTTATATCAGGCTATTCATTGGACCTGGAGAAAAGCAAAAAAGGATATATGGCTAAGAATTTCAGATCGGGAATAGCCATAAAATTAAAGTTATTAACTTATTTCGAAGCTTGCTAAACCAATAAGGCTGCAAAGATAAATCCCTATGTAGACTAATCCAAAATATTTAGAAAGTTTTCAGATAAAAGATATCAGTATGCAATCCACTTTGAATTCTATCCGGGAAACAGAGATTTCCAAAAGGAAATTGAACATCTTATATTAAAGAAATATTAAAAAAATTTTAAAACTTCATGAAAAAAAAAGCTTATTTTGGATATACTTGGGATAATTTGTGGCTACCTTGAGAAGGGCTTGGAAGTAAAGAGATCTACGGTGTTGGTTCTTACTTTTGTGAACAATCCTCTCAAGAATTCCAGACTCAGAACTTAGCTGGAAAAGGAGAGATTTCAGCCTCTCCTCCAAGTTCTCGTTCTCAGAATCCATCCAAATTTCCAGCGCGCTCTCAATCTGGGTTGGCTATCAAAAGCTTCGCCTGTCAGAGTTTAGCCATTGTTAAATGGAAGCTTGAGAGATACTGAAATCAAAATTAACATGAATCTTCAAAAATAAAAACCTTAGCAAAATATGATGGGAGACGTCAAAAGATTTCAAAAGAAATGATAAGCTTAAGAGATACTATTTACATTTAAAAAAGAAATGAGAAACTATTGGTATTCCATTCCACTAATCCAACAAGCATAATATCGATTTTATAGATCGATTAGAAGTTTGTTTAATGCATAAAGGGGGGCATTTACATATATAAAAACAATTCTTAAGTATTTACATATCTTACACCTAAATTTTTATATTTACACACATAGCACTCAAAACTTTAATATCACATCCAAAATGGTACTATTATCACTTATTACAAGTGAAATGCACATTTTCATGAACAGGCTCAAAGCACCAAAGTGCTATTTATGTAAATATGAAAGTATAGATGTGAGATATGTAAATACATAAGAATTGTGCGCTATGTATGTAAATTTTCCTTGAATAAATGTGATATCCTGTAAAGTTTTATTTAAATTTGCCTTATCAATTGTTGTGTTTAAGTAGAACATTGGTAGTGCTTTCTAGCTAATTTGTTCATGTCATGTCAGAAAAAATTGGTGCACTACATATGCACCATCATTTTGTAACCATTAGTAATACTATTGAAGAATAGCTTAATCAATTTTTGTGAAAGTTATTTTACCAAACAACATAGCACAACTTTGCTAAAGAAAGCCCCCAGTGTTAATTTTCTATTTAGGTTGTGCTGACTTCGAAATTTTGTAAATGTATTCACCCATCTAGATCGTTGACATCCAGATGAAATTTCATATGCTCTACATAAAGATACTCTACCTAAGTTTGGATCATTTTAATACCGCCGCAAAATGTTGAAGACACAAACTACATATTAAACAATATAACTTTACACCCAATCACAAGCATGATAATTACTAAAAGAAAATTGAAGATTAAAAGGAAAGACAAGTAATTGTATTTTCTCAAAACGGAAATATATGTGCATCTAGTTAGTTATCTTATGCTTCTTTTGGTATGAAAATATATCCAAACAATGTTCTATCGAGCCTAACTTCGATCCTTATGTTTAAGTGAGTTGTGGATCTCATGAGTCATGGCCATTCTACTATAGTTCAGCAAGGTTAAAGAATGAGTGATTCCCACAATGTCTCCGTTCGGTTTAATGGGCTCGTGATGCATTATACTTAGGGATATTGAAAATTTCTCATTTGAACGTAAGTGATGGGCTTTTTGGAAGCTCTGACATGAGGTAGAGATTGTTTAAGGCAAGTAAAAGCTTTGAGTTTGTTCCACATTGACTAATCAAAAAAATGTATTAGTGTGAGCTGACCCTCAATTATAAACTTTGACTTTCGGTTGGAAATCAGTTCTCCACTATCATGCCCGGAGAAACTTTGATACTACTTTGGATAGCTCGATAAAAATAAAATTGTCATCTCTTTTGCTTAAATTCCCGGATTGTGGAGAGAGCGAGGGAAAGAAGACATTTAAATAACTATTCAAATTACCAAAACGAGGAGAATAAAGATTGATGATTAAGTAATTCTACTGCTATTAGTATTGTTTCAAGTTTTCCTCTCTTGTCCTTTTGATTCGTGCACTTTGTCATACTTGTTTGAATTGTACTGAGGTAGAATCTACAAGTTTTTAACCATGAAATTCAAATCGCTTCTCGTAAGGTACTTAGCGTACATCAAAATTTATTTCAATCATAATTTCCATTTTCATCATATGAATTAATTACTTAGGATTACAAGTTTGCATCATATGTATTTTAGGTGTTGGTTGTGTGTTTTTTGCATCTTATATTAGATCTGTGATAAAAATCATAGGCGCTAGACATTATATGCAATTTTAGCATCAAAGATTAAGGTTATATCATAATATCTTTTGGTCGTGACATAATATTAAAACATACGACATGTTTACCTATTATTCTAGATAATTTCAACATAGTTATTATGAGGTCATGAATTTATATTCATGCGTTCAATAAAAAGTAAAATTCCAAGATCAGTCCCGATAAAACAAATACTGTGGTACTAAATGTCGAGATGTGTCTGAGATGGAAATAAGGTTGGGAGAATTAATTCTAATTCTCTTAATTAAGGAAATTAGAATTAATTGGTAATCCCTTAAATTGAGGGAATTAGAATTATTTTGTAATCCCTTAAATTTCATAATTTCCTAGTTTTTTTGTCTACCTGTAATCTCCTATATAATACCTTGTATTATCAATTCAAAGAAATAAGTGAAATATAAAATTATTTCTCTGATTTCCCACATTGTATCAAAGCAAGGGCTCAAACCCTAGAGGGCACCGTCGCCTGTTGCCTTCATTCGATCCTTTCCGCTTAGGGTCATTCGGCTCTCCTCCGCTATTCCCCTCTAGGGTTGCTTGCAGCCATTTGACCATTTGATTCTGCCATTTGATTCTTTTCTGCTGCTCACGAGGAAGATCGTCAAGAAGCGCGTAAAAAAGCAGATCTTGCGATCGCTCTGAGGATTCTTTTACCGCTGCAGTCGTTGATTCCAGCCTTAATTGCTGTGAATTTCTCTTCTCTACCATGTCAATGTCCGAAACCACTATCTCCAGCAATTTCAACCCTTCCGAAGAATCCAATGTTGTTCAGAAAATTGGACAGTTGCAGAATATTTGGGCATCCAACAAGTTCAATGGGAAGAACTATCTCAAATGGTCCCAAATTGTCTGCACATACCTAAAGGGCAAAGGGAGACTTAATCACGTACTTGGAACCGGACCAGGAAAAGTGATTCAGCCTCTACAGCATGGGAGTGGGAGGATTCCATGATTATGTCCTGGCTATGGGATTCCATGGACCCAACGATCAGTGACACTTGCATATTCTTGAATACCGCAAAGGAAATCTGGGACTATATCAACCGCACATACTCGAAGGCCCGTGATGCTGCCCTTGTGTATTAAATCAAGGCAAAAACTGGAGCCACCAAACAAGGAGACAAATTTGTCACAGAGTATGCAACTCTGTTGCAAAATCTTTGGCAGGAACTGAATCACTATCGAGTAATTGAGATGAAATGCCCCGATGATGCTGCCACTTTGAAGAAGTTCATTGAGAAGAATCGGATATATGATTCTTTGGCAGGATTGAATTCTGAATTTGATCAGGTTAGGATCCAAATCCTCAGCAATGAGGATACACCGTCTCTAGAAGAGACAATCTCATTAATCCAAGCAGAAGAAGGTCGGTGGAGTGTCATGCTTGAACCACATACTATCGATGGGTCAGCCTTAACAGCAAAAACAAATCAAGAGAAGTCGAAGAATGATCTGCTTAAACACTCGGTGTACTTATTGCAAGAAACCAAAGCATACAAAGGAGAAGTGTTGGAAGCTGAATGGTAAACCTCCAAGCCGAGAATGGGGCAACCGTGGGGGGCAACAAAGGCCTCAAGCCCATAT